CTCCTCGGCGCGGGTTCTTGGTGCTTCCGTAGATGCGTCGTAAAGCTGAAATGAGGCATTCCAAACACCGCGGTGTATCCTCCGGCGTATATTTGCAGATTACTGGGGTGGACCGGGTGCCAGCCAACAGCATAAGCTCTGGGGTCTTTAGCCGAAATAAGGTTTGGGGCAGATTGGGGCGAGGCCTGGGGCAGGTTCCGGCAGGTTCTCGAAAAGGTTCCGGGCAGGTTCCGGCGAGGTTCCGAAGCAGGTTCCGGTGATGTTGCGGGGCAAGTTCCGGGGCAGGTTCCGGCAGGTTCCGGGGAGGTTCCGGGCAGGTTCCGGTGATGTTGCGGGGCAAGTTCCGGGGCATTCCGGCAGGTTCCGGTAAGGTTCCCTGCAGGTTGCCGGGAGGTTCCGAAGCAAGTTCCGGTGATGTTGCGTGGGAAAGGGTCGGGGCAGGTTCCGGCAAGTTCCGGCAGGTTCCGGAGCGGTTCCAGGGCATGTTCCGAAGCAGGTTCCGGTGATGTTGCGGGGGAAATTTGGGGCAGGTTCCGGCAGGTTCCGGTGAGGTTCCGAAGCAGGTTCCGGTGATGTTGCGGGGCAAGTTCTGGGGCAGGTTCTGGCAGGTTCCGGCAGGTTCCGGGAAGGTTCCGGGCAGGTTGCGGGGCAACTTCCGCGGCAGGTTCCGGCAGGTTCCGGGGAAGTTCCGGGCAGGTTCCGGCGAGGTTCCGAAGCTAACAAACATTTCACTTTAGTTGGTATGCCCAATTTAGCTTGTTTCACTGCGTGAGTTTTGAAGGACTCCAGCACGAGGCTTTCGGGTGTATAGGGTGAGGGTTTCAGGGTTTGATTGCTGCCGGGGTTTGAATTTATATGTCGGCCCAAGCGCTGCGGCCCACACCTCTCGTCCTAGGTCTAAGTCCCCCCCAGTCGTACCTAAACCCAGACTTGTAGGAAAAAGGGTGGCGAGCGGGGAATGTCGGAGCCTTGAATCCACACCTCGTTACATGTAGAGTTTCCGAAGACCTGAACAAGGGAAGGCGGTTGATGGTTTAGGATTTGGGCTCTAGGCTCCCAAACTCCCGAACTGAGATCCACTGCTCCCTGAGGTTCTGGGGGTGCAGGATGTGGCTTCCAGTCGAAAGGTGTAGATGGGGAAAGGAGTGAGGGGATGCTGTATGAGTTGTTGTGGACTTCCAGCAAGGACTTCCAGCAAGCTTGGATTCAAGCCTAAATCCTGCACCCCGCCTCCTAAACCCTACAGCAGCATAAAGCCCAGAACTTCTAAGCTCTTAAAGCACAGATCCAGAAGAGTGGCTTCTCTCTAGCCGGGGCGCCCCTGGCCCCTTCCCAACCTGGGATTCGGCGGTTCTGGGGACTGTGGCGCAGGCGGCCTGTCTGAGGGGGAGGGCCTGCAGTTTCCCCGCCGGCACCCAGGGAGCTCCAATGGGTGAAATTTCGTGGTGCTAGCCTTCTGAACGAGCGGATCAATGGGTCTCTGAGCGACCTGAGTGGCCTAAAGCTCCTCGGCGCAGGGTTCTGGTGCTTCCGTAGATGAGTCGTAAAGTTAAAGCCGAAAGCAGGCATTCGAAACACCGCGGTACACCCTCGGGGGTTTTTTCGGAGAGCCCTTCATGGAGATTTCTGGACTGTTTGGGTTTTTCGGCGGGCGGGAATTGGCCACGAGCCTTTAGGGGAAGCGGGTTGCGAAATCTCTTTGTGGGACGCGCGGTGGGCTGCTTGTCCCGCCTCGGCGCCCAGGGAGCTCCAGCACGTGTCTTTCGGTTTCAGCCAGATGATCACAGGGTCTCTGAGCGACCTCAGCGGTCTGAAGCTCCTCGGCGCAGGGTTTGGGGTGCTTCCGTAGATGAGTCGTAAAGCTGAAAGCAAGCATTCGAAACACTGCGTACATCCTCATCCGTATATTTGCAGATGACTGGAATGAACCAGGTGCCAGCATTTTTTTTCGGAGGGCCCTGTGTGGAGACTTCTGTGACTTCTTGTGGGTTTTCGGGGGGGCCATGGCGGGTTTGAGGGTGAGGTCGAGGCCTCGAGCCTAGCTCTTTGTGCGGGGTGGGCAGGGCGTGAAGAGGCTACGAGTCTTCGCGAGGAAACGGGCTGCGAAAGCTCTTCTTGGGGCGCGTGGCGGGAGTCTTTTTGAAGGCTTCCGGAAGGTTTGAAGGAGACTCCAGCACGAGGCTTTCGGGTGTATAGGGTGAGGGTTTCAGGGTTTGATTGCTGCCGGGGTTTGAATTTATATGTCGGCCCAAGTGCTGCGGCCCACACCTCTCGTCCTAGGTCTAAGTCCCCCCCAGTCGTACCTAAACCCAGACTTGTAGGAAAAAGGGTGGCGAGCGGGGAATGTCGGAGCCCTGAATCCACACCTCGTTACATGTAGAGTTTCCGAAGACCTGAACAAGGGAAGGCGGTTGATGGTTTAGGATTTGGGCTCTAGGCTCCCAAACTCCCGAACTGAGATCCACTGCTTCCTGAGGCTCTGGGGGTGCAGGATGTGGCTTCCAGTCGAAAGGTGTAGATGGGGAAAGGAGTGAGGGGATGCTGTATGAGTTGTTGTGGACTTCCAGCAAGGACTTCCAGCAAGCTTGGATTCAAGCCTAAATCCTGCACCCCACCTCCTAAACCCTACAGCAGCATAAAGCCCAGAACTTCTAAGCTCTTAGAGCACAGATCCAGAAGAGTGGCTTCTCTCTAGCCGAGGCGCCCCTGGCCCCTTCCCAACCTGGGATTCGCGCCCAGGGAGCTTCGGTACCTGCATTTCAATTTCGATGACAGCATCACGGGGTCTCTGAGCGACCTCAGCGGTCTGAAGCTCCTGGGCGCAGGGTTCTGGTACTTCCGTAGATGAGTCGTAAAGCTGAAAGCAGGCATTCGAAACACTGTGTACATCCTCATCCGTATATTTGCAGATGACTGGAATGAACCAGGTGCCAGCATTTTTTTTCGGAGGGCCCTGTGTGGAGACTTCTGTGACTTCTTGTGGGTTTTCGGGGGGGCCATGGCGGGTTTGAGGGTGAGGTCCAGGCCTCGAGCCTAGCTCTTTGTGCGGGGTGGGCAGGGCGTGAAGAGGCTACGAGTCTTCGCGAGGAAACGGGCTGCGAAAGCTCTTCTTGGGGCGCGTGGCGGGAGTATTTTTGAAGGCTTCCGGAAGGTTTGAAGGAGACTCCAGCACGAGGCTTTCGGGTGTATAGGGTGAGGGTTTCAGGGTTTGATTGCTGCCGGGGTTGGAATGTATATGTCGGCATGAGCTCTGCGGCCACGCCTCTCGTCCTGGGTCCCCGCAGTCGTACCTAAACCATCCTAAACCCAAAGCTGTAGGAAATTGGGTGGCGACCGGGGGATGCCGGAGCCCTGAACCCACATTTCGTTACATGTAGAGTTCCGGAAAACCTGAGCAAAGGAAGCCGGTTCAGGGTTTAGGGTTTGGGGTTTGGGCTCTTTTGGGTTTCAAGTGTCCGAACTCTTAACTTCCAACCTGGGAGTGCGAGCACAGGAATGCTGATCGATTTTGCAAAGGTTTCCTGACGTGGGTCTTCGCTCAAGCATCAAAGAGGTTCGGTAGGCTTGCCATGCGCGTTGAGGGATTGCTTCTGGCATTACTGGGACACCTGTTGGCGCCGAAGCGGCCCGGGGATTTTCCAATCCCAGAACCTCCTGATTGGGTCGTCAATGTGACCTGTGTGACTTTGACTGGCTCCCCTGCGCCTACCCCGGGCAACTGCACTTGTCTCTGCGATTTTGGCGAGGCTTCGGTGCAGTGGCCATATTTGGGATTCAGTTGCGGGTTGCTTGTCGGCGTTTTGGTTGCCTTCACTCTGATTCAGCTTTCAAGGAGGTTTTGTCAGGCGCCCGAAGATCATGACAGCCCCCGACGCAAATTGTGGTCGTGCGTTCCGGGCGACAGGATCCTAGATTGGTACAGTGTTTGGCATGAGCGTGTGTTGGTTTGGAAGGGCTCTTCTCCAAATGGGACGGTTGGCATAGGCCTCCACAATGGTCTGCAGTCTGCGCCCCAGCGCCTCGAATGCCGCAAGGGAAGGCATGTTGAGCTGGTCGTAGCAGCCCCCAAGCCATACAGCCTCAACAAGGCCCGAACCTAGTGAGCAGTGCGATCTGTCTCCCGACTCGTCCTCCTCGACGCCCTTCGGGATGGCACCTTTCTCGTCAGGGATTTTTTTTGGGAAGGTCGTGGATGCCCAGGCGATCGGCCGGGGACTCCTCGTTCAGCGAGCGGCCCAAGAAACCTTCGCGATCTGCACGCCAGAGAGCCAACTCTGACTTAACATGAGTTCCCCTCTCACCCAAACATCATCACTGAAGAAAAAATCATCCTTACCACCTAAGAAAGCAGTCTCCGACGGTCGACACCAGTTCCTGCCCGACACGAAGATCACCACGAGGATCCGAGACAACCCAAACATCACTGACAGGGAACGCTGGGAAATCGGAAGAGACTTGCCTGTCACGGGCCGGCTCACCTCCAGTGGCACCTGGCACTCCGTGTCCCTCCTTGCCCCGAGTCACGCGCCGAAACAAAGCGGCGACTGAGGAGCAGTGAAGTTGCCACTATGTGCTTGGAGATCCTCACGTTCACTGGCCGATACCCGTCTCCTGGAATGTCGGAGATGCCCATCTCGTCCAATGCCATCTCTATGTAATTCTTCATCGCATCCTGGGTCGGGTCACGAGGGAAGCGGCAGACTGGGCGCCGGAGTGAAGAGTAATACTTAACCTGGCGTCCCTTGATTCGGAACTTCGCCGGCCCATCCTCCGCTGTCCCTTGAATTACCCGAGGGTTGCACATCCCCTGTGTCTTCGGAGGCAGCCTTTAAAGAGTTGCTCCGCGGCTCGTCCGTTTACAAGGCGGCCGGTTCATCCTTGGCGTCCTTCAGACTTGAGCGCGTCAGCTTACCCGAATCAGTTCGGGGCTGCCCTGAGATCACGGACCTGACCTTCTTCATGGGACTGACGCCCTTCATTACTTGGAGGACCCTGAGCGAATGCTGAGGCCCGAACATGAGGTAGATTGCGACAATACGCCGTATTGGGACCCTTTGCTTAGGATTGGTACGAAGAACTACAAGACCCTCGTCCGCCGGCTCGATAAGGTCGGACTCCTCAGCTACACAACTTCGCCAAAAGATCGTGCGGGTATGTTCTTTGTCCGCAAGTCTGACGGAGTTCGACAAAGGCTTATCATCGACGGCCGGAGGGCAAATACCAGGCTCGCCACTCCTCCTTCAGTCCGTTTGTGTTCGCCTGAGAGCTTCGCCAAGGCTGAGGTGACGTTCAACTATGGCGACAGTCTCTACTTCCCCGGTCTCGAGGCCCTTGAGCTGAACATCGGGTTGTCTGATATACGGGATTGTTTCCATCGACAGCCGCGGTGGCTGCAGGAATACTTTTGCCTGGACCCGATCCCGGCCTCGTCGGTCGGGCTGGCCGGGTATGTGCTCGATGGTCGCACCCTCAGTGGAGATGACCTTGTGTATCCCATGCCGTCCTCCCTGCCCATGGGCTGTTGTTGGAGCCTTTACTTTGCCCAGATGATCTCCGATAAGCTCATAGGCGAGGTCAGGGCCCTGGAGGCTTCATCGTTGTTACGGGATCGTTTTCCTCCTCTTGTCATCGGCGCTCCCGGGCCAGGTGATCGTGATGAAGTAGATCTAAGTTCGTAGAGTCCCCCGCGGCATTCTCAAGAAGAGTGATTGGGATGTTAATCTTTGTGGAAAGTGGGAGTTCGCTGATGACATCTTGGTGCTCGAGGGGCATGAGGAGGACGATGACACCTTCGAGAAGATGTTTGATCTCATCTCTGAAGGACTTCACACCTGGGTTGAGATCATGACAGATATCCCGAGCCAGATGTATGATTTGATGAGCTGGAAGACTACAGAGCCAGAGATGGACAGGCTCCTCCAGCACTTCTATCCAGGAGGCCGACAATCGGCCCCGGATGCTGATGAAACGGCAGCTCGTGAGGATTCGGCCCGTGCTAGAGAAGATCCGCAACCCCCCAGAAGGAAGAGACCTACGAAGATGACCCAAGATACCCTCTCACCTCTACAGCCAAAGAGGAGCCTGCAGAAGATTTGGCGGCCCTCGGAGTCTACGAGACAGGGTTTGAGCCGGACCAAGCCGCTCCCCAGGAACCGGGCAGTGCCCAGAGCACGTTGGAATCTGAGCCTCCGGCTTTCCAACCTTTTTCCTTTCAGGTTGTGCCAACCCGCCTGCATTGGAAAACGGACGAGAAGCTGAGTAAGCGGTTATCACGGGTACTTCGTCATGACAAAGGTGATTTTGGGGTCAGCTTTTACCCGAACATGACGACGGCCCTGTCCGGGCTGATCAAACTCCCGATCTTCACTGAGGTGCGAGCCACTCAGGAGCAGCTCCTCTCAGTTGTCGACTTCAACGAGAAGCAACGCTTTCGCCTGTTATGGGCCGGTTCAACACTGGTCCTATAGGGGCCGTTCAGGGACATTCACTGCCGATCGACAATGATCAGGTTCACGCATGGGTCGACCCTGAGAAGGTCCCCGACATGGTGCACGCTACGCACTACGACTTCTACAAGAAGATTTTTGATCAGGGCCTTTTGCCTGGAGGAGGATCCTCTTCATGGAGGCAACAGATCCACCCCCTGGCCGACAACCCGGCCAATGCAAAATTCTTCCCCGCGAAGGCAGACATCATCCTTCACATCGACAAAGCCTCCGCACAGGCCTGCACGTATTTTCTATCGGACAATGGATACTTTCTGACGGAAAACGCAGTGCCCTCAAAGTACATTAGGGCGGTCACCATAAGGGAGACCGGAGAAAGGGTCGAGGCGGAGAACGCCTCCCCTCCCACTCCTTCTCGGGTGCTGACTGCATATCTGCAGCCCCAGCTTCAGGGTGGCCTGAAATCGGCCTACTCCGGATCACAGCATTCGCACAGGCGTGCCTACATGGCGCATGGGGAGGGAGGGAGCCTGCAAGATTTGCACCCCCCATCCGTCTCCTGCACCGTAGCGTTGCCACCTGTCAAGACCCCTCCGACATCTTCAACATCCTCCCACAACTCCCAAGGCCGGTATCTCACCAGCAGAATTCAGGTGTGCTTTGGCTCTGCCAAAAGTCGAGCTGGAATCTTCATCCGTGTGACGTGCTATATCACCTGTCTCAAGCCGGCCCCTACCCATGACATCTGCACTTATGCCTACCTAGGGTGGATCATGTTTTCAGATTCGGAGCCTGACTCAGACCTCATCATGGATGAGACTCATTCATGGCTGGAAGAGACGGATTCAGAAGAGCCTGCCCCGGACGCCATGCTCGCTGTGGGAGACCGTGATGCACGGCCCCACCAATTGACCCAATCAAGGACGTCCTGGCACTGGTCAACCGGCCGGCCCAGCCAGACGGATGCGCAACAAGCAGGTGCACCATCCCACCCATAAAAACGGTGAAGCCGCCGGTACGGCCCCGGAGACAGATCACCAGATGGATCACATTGACCTCCCGGGCGAGTACACCTTAACCGATATGCTGAGGGTGCCAGCCCTGCCAAGGGCCACCAGAGCTGCAACCAAAATGCTAGTCAAAGCGCTGCTGTGATGCAGCAAATGCTTCAAACTTCGCTCCGACTGCCAGTGCAAAAGCCACCGATGCAACGCATACCGCTTTTGAGCCCGGAAGGCGGGGCTCCTCATGGTGAGATGCACCTGTAGCCCTGGTCCACTGAAGGATATGGAAAAGCATGAAGGCGCATCTCGACAAGCTAAAAGGGCAGGATTTTCCGCAGGGCCGTTTAGTCGCCCTTCTCTTGGTCCGGGCAGATGCTTGATAATTCCTGTGTGGGGTTTTCTGGAGGCTGCTAGTGTTGTTGATGACCGTGTCGTCGGGACGTGGTTCCGTTATGCCCGCTTGCGTAGTAGTCGGGGGTTGGATCGCGCCACCCGCCATCTTCCCATTCTGGGAAGTCAACGAGGCACTGTCGTTCGGTGGGAACCCTCACCTCCCTCCCCTTGGAGTGAATGCCCTGTGTTGGCTGGGCGTAGTAAGGGGAGTCGCCGGACTTGGGACCGACGCGGCTCACACGTTGCTGGTGTCTCTGTGCTTGTTCGGGGGTGTGGGGTCTTCGTTTGTACTTCCCGTGGAATCTCTTGGCTGTTCGCCATGGTAACTTCCTAGACTGTCTAATGGCAGATCGGAGTGTGCTTGCCAGAACAGCTCCAATGCACATGTCGCAGGCTGCAAAGAGTAGGCTCCAGGCGAAAGCGTTGTATGGCTTTGAGTCATCCACGGGTGCGTGGTGGGAAGTGCTTGAGAGGGCACACTGGAGTCACGTGATTCTCTGGTGCCCCTTTGCTGTAGGATGACATGTCTACGGTGCCTGGGCTATCCGAAGGGCCCGTCATCGGGCACAGACCCAAGGGAAAGGGCGCCGCGTTACGGCCCCACAGCTCCCTGACACACACACCCGCACCACGCTCCGAGAGACGACCCAAAACCACCAGACCCGCAGTCAGAGGGCGGGGCAGTCGTCTAATACTCGAATCAGCACTCTGTCGCTCAACGTAGGATTGCGGCACAGACAGGCTGATATTATATGTGTCCAGGAGACGCATTGGACCACGAGTTCTGATTTTATGGTGCAGGGGTGACGGGCGGTGCGTTCAGGGACCAAGGCCAGAGCTGACGGGGTGATGACACTGATTCACCCCAGACATGCCAAGTGTACAGTACGACACGAGGAGGTAATACCGGGTCGAGCCCTCAGAGTTCACTTGAAAGATCCGATGCGATACTCGCATGCGAGTAAATTTTGGGGAGTAAATTTACTCACATGTGAGTAACTTTGGGGAGTAAATTTATTCACATGCGGGTAAATTTGGGGAGTAAATTTACTCACACGCGAGTAAATTTGGGGAGTAAATTTACTCACATGCGAGTAAATTTGGGGAGTAAATTGAATAAATTCTTCCGCGCGAGTAAATCCTAATCTTATTCGCATCGGATCTTTCAGGTACCGTCTCCCTGCAGAACATGTTTTTCTGCAGCATGTGTGCCTACTGACAGAGAGCGTGCATCATGCACCCAGGGACGTGCTTCCTGCAGTATGGTTACTGTGGCAGGCTTACAGATGCCAACATGAATCGAAAAAGGTGGGGTATAGACCAAGGGAGGCCGTTGATCTTGTTTTCGTGCTTGGCGAGCCGTGCAGTGGGCCGTGCCGCGAGGCACTGACAGAGAGCGTGCATCATGCACCAAGGGACGTGCTTCCTGCAGTATGGTTATTGTGGCAGGCTTACAGATGCCAACATGAATCAGAGCAGCCGTGAGTGTGTCAGACAGTGGGCCGTGCAGTGGGCGGTGCCGCGACGCACCCGCTGCGACACCACAAACCGGATACTGTTGGCCATGTTCACTCAGCATGTCGCAGGCACTGTGCCGTGCAGTGGGAAAAGCGGAGCTATGTATGTATGTATGTATGTATGTATGTATGTATGTGTATATATATATATATATATATGGTACCCCCCCCCGGTACCCAGGTTGTGTCCTGTTCAAGCCAGACACCTTGTCCCTAATATTTGTTTGTGTTCCTTGGTCATTGCGTCTCTGGGAAAGCACGTTTTCGTTTACTGTGGCTCCCTGGGCTTCTAAGTGTCGCGTCTACTGTACTGTTGCTCCCGAGCTTTCTCCGAATCGATGGAACGTGCTGGAAATGTTTGAAAAACCAACAATTTCCATGATCTGTCTGTGGGGAATCATGCAAATTGTTCGTTTTACCAACATTTCCAACAATTTCCATGATTCCCGAAACTATGGTGCGGGCTCCCGAGGTTTTTCCAAATTCATGGAAATTGTTGGAAATGTTGGTAAAACCAACAATTTTCATGATTTCTCTGAGGGGAATCATGGAAATTGTTGGTTTTACCAACATTTCCAACAATTTCCATGATTCCCGAAACTATGGCGCGGGCTCCCGAGGTTTTTCCAAATTCATGGAAATTGTTGGAAATGTTGGTAAAACCAACAATTTCCATGATTTCTCTGAGGGGAATCATGGAAATTGTTGGTTTTACCAACATTTCCAACAATTTCCATGATTCCCGAAACTATGGCGCGGGCTCCCGAGGTTTTTCCAAATTCATGGAAATTGTTGGAAATGTTGGTAAAACCAACACTTTCCATGATTTCTCTGAGGGGAATCAAGGAAATTGTTGGTTTTACCAACATTTCCAACAATTTCCATGATTCCCGAAACTATGGCGCGGGCTCCCGAGGTTTTTTCAAATTCATGGAAATTGTTGGAAATGTTGGTAAAACCAACAATTTCCATGATTTCTCTGAGGGGAATCATGGAAATTGTTGGTTTTACCAACATTTCCAACAATTTCCATGATTCCCGAAACTATGGCGCAGGCTCCCGAGGTTTTTCCAAATTCATGGAAATTGTTGGAAACGTTGGTACGACCAACAATTTCCATGATTTGTCTGAAGGGGGATCATGGAAAGTGTTGGTTTTACCAACAACTTCCATTATTCCCGAAACTGCGGCTCCGGCTCCCGAAGTTTCTCCAGATCCATGGGAATGGTTTAACATGCTGGTTTCGCCAACATTGTCCACAGTACATATTTCAATACGTTGTTTCCGAAAGTTGCGATTGAGCAGATCTTACGTACTCGTGCGAGGCGTTTTGCAGACAAGCCGGTAAGGTATTTGCATCCTTGATTAAGCTCACTAGTTGGTCCAACACGAAGCTACGTAATTCATAGTCTCCGCTTGAAGACACTACTGTGGGAACACCAGTTCATGGGTTTTCTGTTTATCACATACAAGGCTGTACTCCATGTCTAAGATTCAAAAATTTATTATAGGAAAGCTATTGCTGCACGACCAAGCTTAGCTGGCTTAATCACCCACTTCTTAAGATAAATGTAGAAGGATCTACTTATGTTGCTTGGTGTTTGCATGGGGGTCTTTGGTCGTTGTGGTTGTGTATTCTGTTTTGGTGTGGCACTGGTGCTTACAAAAAAACAAAGAGCCCGTAGTCAAAAGACTACCATGTGCACCAGAATTCTGACATACATCGTTGTCAACTTGTCATCATTTGGTAGGTGCAGGCTTTCGAAAACGATTCTGCGACCAATAAAATGGATATTACTTGTATGATGCACGCACTTTTGATGAACTGCACTCGGATTAAACATGTCGAAGTCGATGTCACCTGACGTGAAAAAACTATAGTCGAACTATAACTAACTACAACACACAACCTAGCGTGTAACACGCAGCCCCGGCGTGTTGGATCATGTTTGATTTGGAAGACTAACAACCCACTCTCAGCAGGTAAAAAGCGAGCAAATGTGTGACTTGGTTAATTGGTTAACCATCATCCTACCAAGAAGTGTTTTGAAGCACAAGTGTACGTATTCACGTGGTGCTCTCCGGTAGGTTTATACTCAACTTAGCCGAATGTATAAAACACAGGACTCAGCAGGTACTTCATTGACTTTATAATGCTTGGCTACTATTAAGCAAGGTTCCCGAACAATATACGAAGCAGTCTGAATGAACAATCAGAACAGTAATTGACACAGTAACACTTGATGCAGAAATTAAACAAGCCGGGTGGTACATGGTCCTAAATGGCCTGGTATTGGTGAAGTATGATAACCACTGTAACAGGAATAATGGCAATTTACAAGATGTGATAACAACACTGTGAGAGGTAGTATTAAAACCACACTTGACATTTTGAGCTCGATATAGAAGAACAGAACATGTAGCAGTTTCATGACTGGGAAAAGAAACGGAGATCGGATTCCTAAGACAATGGAGACTATACTTGCAGTAACAATTGCGAAGCCTACACACACCGTCGTGAAACACGATTTCATACTTTTGTCGCTATTGACTGCTAACTTGACAGACACGCATGAATCATTGGACAGCGCTGCGGAGAATAAAGGCTTTGACAAGTATACTGACACTATATGACACTGCTTTAGGCTTATTCCTTTTATGGCTGTATGAACCAATGAACACAGCAATTCATGTGAGAGACTGCAACACCCACCACAGCAATGACATTGTTGCGTGTGTAAAAAACCGTAACGACAGCCAATTAAACATAGCCACTATCTACCTTGATCCGAAATCTGCGTGCATGGCCTTGGGGATGCTACAGTATCACCTCTATGCCGTGCAAAGCTCTTTCTCTTACTGGGTTTCAGTAGGCCTGCTTCGCCATACCCTGCAGTTTGTCACACTCGCTCACTACTAGTACTATATGTCGGCTTATCGCGAGCATGCGCGTGCACTTGCAGCCTTTTCTGTCCGACTTCCTTCGTGCTATCAGCACAAAGACGAAAACCTGGGTACCTGAGGGGGGGTAGCATATATATATATATATATACAGATATATAGAATTGCATCGTCATCGCCCAG